TTGCCTTAAAATTATGATTGTAAATTTATGAGAAGAAATTCTCGACCCAGTGCCCTGTAAGCCCAATGAATACGTGATAAGATTTAGGCTTTCGTGTAAAATAAATAATAGGAGCGTGAAGCCACTCTCAAGAAAATTCCATAGAACATTTCTATAGGCAAACAAGAGGTTTAGATAAGGGATCGTCTTTTTCCCCTAGTTTAGCTAATAACTATACCGCTAAATTGGATTTTCGCTTAATTCGAGAGGCATTTCTGGTTCCTAAATTATTATTTCAGTAAAATGCTAAAAAGGTCTAAAAGAATTGCTCTAGTTGATGAATAGAAAAATATGAAACGACTGAATTTAATATAAATAAAAAGATGATAGGTTTGGATGGTTTAGTAAAAAAAATGTATTAGGGAATACGCTAAGAAATTCATAAGTAAAATTTCCTGTTTAACGTCTTCTTTCTGAAATAACAAGGGAACTAGTGAGGACTTGTCACCTTCATAAGTTGCAACTGTGCTAACGATGGTATCTCTCACTGGCGATGCCGGCGAAACGTTTCGGAATGTACCAAGTTAATGGTCCGAAAATGGAAATCACGAAAACTATGAGAGAGAACACAAGACTACATACGTTCCACAAGGTCTCTCTAACGATCCCACCAAGTTGCGAAAACAGGGTCGAACCAACACTATAAGGCTAGAGATTGCGACAAAACAGAAGACCATACCATCTTGGTTTTCATTTCTACGAACTACCGAGGAGTGGAATATTATTATCACGCATAAAGAAATTTTAACACGTTCTACAGTTACGCTTCAATTAAATAATATTATAGTACTGGTGAAATCAAATAAATATGAGCAAGAAAAAACTTTACAAAATTACAAATGAACAAGATAATTACTTTTCGGAAGTTAAAAGAGCTATCAATCTCGGACTTTAAGAACAGCAAGATATTAGAAAAACCAACTATAAACATTCTGTAATTGGTTATAGATAAAGCTGCTTTTTTTAATTGGATAATAAGACTATCCTGGACCAAAAAAATCGCATCGCAGTTATTTAAATTGTAAGATAGTTTTTAAGCTTACTCAAATTGAATATAAGTAATGTGATCCATTTTAATATCAAATACATTTTTGCTTCATCGACAAGCCCACTACAAAATACGATGTGAAAAAGCATGGCTAGCCTCTAAATTCAGGTCTGCCCTGAGACCCATTGGCAACCATGGCAGTGTGGAGTAGTGGCAACGTGTCGAAATTGTACGCTGTACTACCCGAGTTAGAGTCAGAACGGGGTGCTGATGTGAATTAGGCGAGGTCTAAACTGCAGTCCATCCTTGATGGGAATACCTTTCGAGAAGCAAAGCTAAGTGAAAATTAATAGTTTTGTAAAGCCTAATATTGTCATTGTGGAAAAATTTGGTTTTAAGTCCTTTATCGCCTAATGCGATATAGGAATAATACATCACGGTAGTTTCAAAACACTCAAGCAGAACTAAGTGTATAAAATTGTGATTCGATGTTAAGTGCGAAAGTCAATAATTTTCAACGCAAGATCAAGCATCATTTTTAAGTAATCGTAATTAGAGTTACCTAGCCAGTTTTATCGCAAACACAGAGAATAAGCAAATATTCACAGTCCATGTTTGTAGATGCTTTCAAATCTATTTCTTTATTTGAGATTGATTAGAAAAAATTAACAAAGACTTTGGTGAGATTTATTAAATATTCAATCTGTGCAAATTTCGTGCAGAAATCTCAAAAAGGCAGGTGATGTGCACGCTTAGTAGAAATTCCGCCACTTATATATGAGTTTTAGTCTTATACTGTCTTTTATTTTATAAGTAATATACTCAGTGTAGAAGAACTAGTCTCGCCAGTCTATACAAATTACTAGGTTACCATAAGCCTTTGAGGGGAGGCTGCGGAAAAGCTGTGTCAGCCCAGCGTGATATGGTGCTTGGCAAATGAATCTCGTTGGTGAGGCGAGGATGCAAACTGCCTTGATGCTGGCTCGCTTATTCCCAATGGCAGCGGGAACTTCCGGCTTTCTTCTTTCTACATTGGCAATCAGGGCTGGCACAGAGGAAACTGTTGTAGAGCTTGATGAAGCTATCGACAGAGGCCGTGAAGAAGAGTTTGACCGTGAGACATTTAATGAAGTATGCGGTTTCACAAAATAGTTAGAGGTAGTAGTAGAGGCCAACAGGTTGCGCGAAGCTGAGTCAGAAGAACAGTGCCGTTTAGCAGAAATTGGCTGACTAATCAATATGAGATGAAGAACAATTGAAAGAATGTATTTATTCATCTTCCCAATATTAATCCATCTATGAAAATATTTATTTAATGTAAATGTTAAAGTATAAACAAGAACAAGAATGCCCACAAGTAAAAAGATATTCACAAACGTATTCTAGCAAGTCTTGTCTGTGTGGAGAGTTTTTGTTAGAATTAAGTAGGAAAGTCCTTAATTTAAGATTCGCGTAAATAATAATTATCCAAACGTAGATATTAACACCAGGATGTAGTGACCTCTATTTTAACTGCTGTCTCTTTTCGATGAATAGAAAAAACCCGAAATTGTTATAGCAATCGACTACATTGCTTATTTTTTGTTTTATAAGTAGGGTATCGAGGCTACCAATAAGGTATTTAATCCTAAACGAAATAGGGTGAAGACTTCTCACATAAGTGATTTACTGGTATCCTCGAGAGTCTAGTTAAAAAACGAAAAATAAATAATGTAGTCAATTTTTATAACAAATATAACTTTGTAGAAGTGGGTTTACCTCGTTTTCGCAACTTGGTCTCGTTGTTAGAGTCTTAATTGAACGCACATTGTCCGAAGTCTTCTGCAATATCATCATAATTTCAAGCATCAGACCGTGGAGTTGGTACATTCTAAGAGGTTTCACCGACATCATCTATCTATTCTTTACCTACTTATCTAACTCCCACCCTATGACAATTCCTAATTTGCTTAAATTTCACTAGTCAAAATATGTGCTTTTTTACGCAAAGTTAGTGTGGCATCATCACACCTGCTATCAACCTTGGCCCCCTCTCTTTTGATCGGCTAATCCAGCTCGGGCCTCCTATCTAAATCTACCTAATTGTCTCTTAGATCGGTTTCTTATCTTTCTGCTTAATTGATTTCCCTCAGTTCCAGTGCCATGTTTTTTGATCCTCTAAAAAAATGTATATGAATAATTCATTGTGCTTAATAATCTGTCGTTTGCCTTCATACATACATATGAAATTTGGCAATTTGTGTCTTTCTTCATACTTAATGTTGATTATCTGCCCTAGTCGTCTCCCTTCTTTTATTCCCAACTATTAGAATGGTTTTCATAAGTTTAGACAAGAATAGCACCCTTGGTTGACGATACGTATGCAAAATACCTATACATAACTAAAAGAATGAGAGGATTTGTTCATAGCTGACTTCGAGAAAATAACAGCAAATCTTTCTGTGACCCAATATGGTCAGTACATGTGTATATTGTGAAAGATAGCTGCCGCAGCTGCCAATAAGGGGAAAAATTTCATTGTGACCTCTTATATAATTAGCCACGATGTCCAATCTGCATTCTTCATTGAAAAATTTATCAGCACTGAGGGAAGGCGTCGTTAGCAAAGTTGTCTGAACTAGGCCGGACAGCTCAAATATTTATTAAAAAACAAGAGATTTGATTAAAAAATGCAATATGGTTGCCACACAATGTGGAGGAAGTGCTCAGAGGCAAGCGAGATTCCATGACTCTTTAGGGATCTGAATTGCCATTATTGGTGATAATTATGATGCAAATGAAAAAACCCATATGACTCAAAGGAATGTAAGACATCATAAAAGAGAACAAGAGGTGTCGGGATGCCTAATATTTTTATCTTTTCAACTATACTTAAGTCTTTTAAAAATATATCAAGAAAAACATTGATAAATAAATATTTTCTCAAAGATCGGAATTTAAAAAAGCAATACTACGAAATGGCGCAATCCTTTTAAAAAGCTTTGATGATATTTTTAAATCTAAATATTTGATAAAGTGAACCTTGTGGAATCAGCGCACGCAGAATCTCTTAAAGGGACTGATTTAATTTGATTTCTGCGCCGAATAGCCTCCAAACGCTTGGCTTCTATCTGGAGTAATTGTTCATTGGACAGGTGGCTTGTGGGCTCAATCGACATTGCACCTTGGAGGGAAGAGGAAAAAGCAAGTTAAAGATCGTATCCGAATAAAGAAAGCAATCTGCTTCGAAACTGAAAAAAAATTTTGCCTTCAGAAAATTGTATCAAAGAATAATACCAGGTCAGATTAAAATGAAGACGGTTGCAGCATTGAGAGTGGATATGGGGGTAAGGACAAAAGGAAATGGAGACTGGATTTAATCGGATACTATATCACGAATTACTGGCTGGCCTTAAACATGAACTGGAAAATGTATGCCTCAATAGAATTCGACCATGGGGAAAATTAAATTAATTTAAGGCTAAAAATGGAATCAGGCGTAGCGACAAGTAGCAGGATTAAATTATGGGTAAAAGTATACCTTAATAATGAAAGAATTAAGTGTGGCCGATGCAATAAGTTGAAAAGTATCAAAATATCCATATATGATGTTAAGACAAGTTCGCTAAAGTATTATAGCCCACGAACTCCAGAGTTGAATAGAACTCAACTCATAATTTCATTCCAAGAAAGTGAAGTGCATCATATTTGATGATATATTCGATACTGCCAAATTAAACCATAGAACAGGCCGCAAAACTTGTCGGAAGAAGTTCCCAACTCGACAACGTTGTCATAATCAACCAGCATTCATGTCCGCAAATTAATCCTAGGCTAAGTAGCCATGTCAGTTACTGGAATGATTTGCTCTATACTATCTACTAGTCGTGATCGTTTTCACTTAAAGATAGTAAATGTTTTTTTGGCTGAAATTCGAATAAAGCGAAGATGAATCAAGTGATCAAATAATAAACAACGGCATGGACATATACTAACCTTTTTATTAGAATTAACGCATAGCACCAAAAGCGTAGCGTTATGTGATAATAATAAACTAAAATATAAGTTTCCATACTGCATTTCGTATTGGTCAGCCCAGTTTATGCCGTAAAGTAAAAGTTTATTTCGAGAAACCTATCGTCCAACTAAATAATTTGGAACAGTACTGTAAAACAGTGGAGTATCAAAAATTGCAGGTACCAAGGAATATGCTCGTTTAATGCTTAATAGTGATAAAAAGCGATATAAAATAGAAGTTTTCAAAAAGTG